AAAATGACAAGCTCTGTGCCTCTTTTCTTGTCTTTATCTTCTGAGGTTTTTTTTTTTTTTAGAAGGTTGTCATCTCTTCTTCCACAGTATTTCTGAGCCTGGGGAAACAACCTCCTACAAACAACATGCAGCTTTGTAACGCTGCTGCTCTTTTTTTTTCCCTAAAAAAAGGAGCACAGGCTACTTATGACAGGAGACAACAAACACACAAACAAACCGAAAGGAAGGGATATGAGGATCTCAATTTATCCCAAGGACACCAGAAGGGGGCACAGAGCAGAGCGCTCCTGGCAGCACAAACTCCTTCCAGCCTGCTGCCGGGGAGCTGGGGGACATGGCCCAGTGGTGACTTGCTGTGGCACCTAAGAGGATAATGGGGCACAGACAAGCTCCCCCAGTCCTTGCCAGATCTCCCCTCTTCAGCTCCTTCCTCCTGGTTACACGCATGTTCAACAAGGACACAGGATGTCAACGAGAAAGTTCTGTAGCTTAGTGGGGCCTTGGAGTGGGGAGGCAAAAATATAGACGTGAGAGCAGAACTGGAGCCAGAAGCTGTCAGAGGTACTGGGGGAGCCAGAGGATGGCCCACAGCCCTCCTCCCCGTGTGCCAGGGTCTCTGCCTGCTGCACATGGGGCACATGAAGCAACATGAACATACCTGTACCCTCTGCTTCATTTATATAGTCAAGATCCAATAGAGGCTTTGCCCTAGAGTGCCTTGCAGTGGAAAGATCTCCCATCAGCTGGTGTCTGGGTGAGATAGAAGGGTGAGAAGACGGAGTCTGAGTAAAGCACAGGCTTGCCAAGCACGGTGCAACTCAGAGCTGGAGCAGCTCTCAGGCCTGTAACTGACTCTAGTAGTCAGAGCGGGGCAACCAGAGGAACTGAGGATCAACAGTAATTCTGTAGGGCTGAGGAAGGGGTGTGGGGGAGGCCTGTCCTTCCACAGGGCTCCCAAGAGAAGAGAGGAGACATGGAGGCTCAAAACCTATCCACCTCCAGGGCTATGAAGATGGGGCGGTTGCATGCAATACACCATGCACCAGGCTTGGCCTTGAGTCACTAGTCTTGGAGGTCTCAAAGCTTGGTGAAGCCTGCCAGGAGCATCCTCTGGCATGCTGGACTGGCGACCTTCATATGAAGGTAGAGCTTGTACAGGAAGTGAGACAAAGACGTCCCCCCTCTTGATGGCTGCAAGCATCCACATTGCTCCCGATAGCTCCCAGGTCATGCAGAGGTCCTACTAGGAGATCAGGATTCCAAAAAGAACTCCCAAAAGTAAATTTCTGTGGTGGATGGTAGAGAGCTGCAGTCATAGCAAAGCTCTTAGAGGTGATGGAGGCCCAGCACCTCCCCCTGGCGGCTAACCAGGGCTGGGGTGGGAAAAGGTGGTCACGCAGGTTGTTGAAGCAGTACCATGGAGTGGACCAGACTAACAGGTTGAAAACTCTTTCCTGAAGGGAAAGGACCACCTCATCCCTGCCCACCTTTGCACCATTCTGACACCCTGGCCTGGAGTTCATTCCAATTCAAGGCTACTTTTCCTGCCTGAAAGTTGCATGACTAATGAAGCAACAACAGCTCCCATGACTCCAGGACTCACTGATGTCTCCTGGTGTGTCCATTTGTCCATATTCATGTATCTTTGCATTAAGGCTGACATCAACATACAAACTTATGTTTCCAGTTGTCTGCTGACTGGTGACAATCCAAGCATTGCCATCCTGCCATTGACAAGTGACAGATCCAGTTCTGAGTCAGAATTGGCTTTCCAATAATTTTTGTTGGAATTTTGATGCTTTTTTCCCATTAATTTATTGGAATGAATAAGAGGACAAAACCTCTCTAAAAGTATAATTCCCTCCTTAAACTCATGCTTGATGAACTGTGGCCTGTTGTCACATATACTATATTAACAAAATAAGTTTGACATGTTACAGTTTTCTGGAGTATTTTTGTCAGGGGCATTTGTTTGGATGGTGTGCCAAACTGAGAGATGTCAACACTGTCTCAGAGAAAGGAGAATAAGGGATTGGGAGAAGAACACACAGTAAGTGCAAATAAACACATCCTTTCCAGACTCAGGGCTCTTTTCCCTTGTTTTTCTATTTCTGTTTACCTACACTGTGCTTAGAAGATCCTTCTCAATAGTCCTCTCAAGTTCAACATCCTCAAGCCACCAGGCTATATTTAATATTGTATTGATGATAAGAATTGTTTTCTGAACCATCTTATCCTTGGTAATTATTGCAATAATGGTGACAAATACAAATGTCTCTTTGGTTTCAGTTGCATTTTCATCAAATGCTCTGGAAATCCCTTGTTTATAATTTCAAGGTTATATTCTAGTTGCAAGTCACACTTCATAATTGAAATATAACAAAATTAACTATTAGCCAGGTAATTTCTTACAATTTATAATCAATTTCAAATAGCACTGTCCTTCAGTTAATAAAGTCATGTTTTTGTTTATTTCCATGAACAATCAAATCTCTTTTTTTCTCCTCTCAGTGCATTCATATATAGGTTTTCTTAACTCATAAATTACTCTGATCAATTGTTTGAACTGTTTGAAAGGATTATATCGGCATCTTCCCTGAAATCCTCCATGGATGATTACTCTCAGGTCTGAAAACTCTAATTAATTTCTTCTATTTGTCCTTTTTTTTTCAATAATTACATGCTAGATCAATGAGAATCTTTGCCACATTAGGTACCTATTACCCAATATAGACCACAACCCAAGTAATGGTGGAGCAGGAAAGCTGCTGAATGTCTTCCTGGGATTTATGGTGTTTTTTGTGCATTATTTTTTCCAAGCGTATTATTATTTGTGTTACATGGTATTTACAGTATTGTTTGTTCAGCTCCAGCCCAGAAGCACTTTTTTTCCATAGCTGCTTTCAGCATCTGTTTTTCATCAGATTTAATTGTCATCAGAGTAAATCTTACTAACCTGTACAGCCAAAATTTATCATGTTTTACCTCAGGTGCCAACCACAATCTATATAGAAGCCTGAGAAAACAGTGCTATGGTTTCCTGGAAGTTCAAATCAGGCTCTTCTCTTTTTTCTAATATGATTATCTACCAGGAGCCCAGCGATGTACTGAAGACAGAGAGGTATTCAGCCATATCTCCCCTTGCTATCGTAGTAGACTTGTTTTTTTCCTTTGGGTCTATTTATGAACAAACACGGGATTTCATCCTTCTTTACTGAAACTAAAAGTACTAAGTTGTCAGTTCTTCTAGTCAGAGCAATGAGTGTATCCAGTCCTTTAGCAGGTGCTTTGCAATGTGAAAGACTTACCTAGGTGTAAGAAATGTTGGACAGCTCAGCTCTGTTACTGTTAATATTCATAAGATCTTGCTCCACTGGGATATGACGTCAAGTTCTTTCTCCACTTTTTAAGTTAATATGCTCGTATAGAAACTAAATGTTTAGATTGCCTTGATGATGTCAAGAGCATACAACTACTTTTTTTTCATTTGTTTTGTGTCCATACATTTATTTCATACATATCTTTCACTGGGTTAGTCTCATGATTTTAAGTTCCACAAATAAGCAGTCTTTCTTTCCATTCCCTCTAGTTTTTCTTTTAAAGGTAAGAGCACTACTTCTGGCAGCATCTTAGTTGATGGATCAAGGTACAGATGGAAACAAATACTACTGTATTTAATTCCAAACTTCCCCACTGCCTCAGTGCCCACTACTTCTGTAAGGACTCTCGAGTGAGCTTTGCTACCTTCATTCACTTTGCCCATACCGAGCTCATCTTGCTGACTCTTGCAAGCTCTTGTAAAATTATTTCATCCCCTTCAGTTCCTGGATCCTCTCCAGTGGTCCAGGCATCACTGGCTTGCATCTTTGTCACAGTGTATAAGTGATGTGGAGGGTTCTTGTCTTGGATCTTACTCATGATCTGTTGTCTTCTCCAGCTCTCAGATGCACTTCCACAGCCCTAGAGTAGCCACAGGTTGTTTTGATTTCAATTTCTTCCTATCCTTTCTCTTTCTTTTTATACAGAAATTACTCATACGATTAATGTTCTCTAAGACTTAAGTTCTCTATGTTTTATGCTTAGAGTATTTTGTAGTTAGTGTGCACACTCTGAGGTAGCTGAAAACTGCTGGGTTCATGTAATGTTCCAAAAAGAAGCCAACTTTTTTTTTTTAATCTTTCTTCCTCTTTACTGGCAAACCCTGTGTGCAGATCTTGAGTGCACTATTATTTAAATCCCCTTCAATTTGTTTCTCAAACATCTGAGAAATCTCAATGCTGGTGGAACTCTTAGCCCTTTTTTTCTATCTATGATCACCCCAGTGATCTCTTGGTGCTTGACATATCTGTTTTGAATTATGTCCCATTCCAGGCAGATGTGTCACATCAAAAGCTTTGCATCCTCCCCAAGGCTCATTCCTTAAAGGCACATTTCTCAATACATCCTCATTGTAGCTTCTGGCTTCACAGGATTTCTGTGGCTGCCAAGAATATCCAAACAATCTCAGAGATCAGGTAATTTCCCCCTTCTCCGTGCTGAATTCCTTTCCTCTCAATGTGACATTCTTAGTGTCCCTACGTACAGCTGGAATGGCACAGAGAGCTGTGACACAAAAGAGGAGCTCTCCTTCCAGGCAAATAGCTGCTGTTATACCTCTTCAACATTCTTGCTTTTCACAATTCCCAGGCCAGCCCTCAAAAAGCGGAGGAACGCTGCCAAACCTCAGTGCTGGCTGACAGCCAAGGGGCAAGTCAGAGCTGGTATGACAAAAGCAACCACTTCTTCACCTCAGCTGTAAGTACAGGGGCTGGGACTTTCCCTGAGACTTTGACGGGAAGTGCTTTCACCCTTCACAGACAGACAAGGCTTGCAAAATCCTCTGGTCTTGCCCTCCCCTTCTTCCACTAGATAAATGCCCGAGACGCTGTCAGGGTTTCTGCAATCAGCTTCAAGCAATAGGACCTCTCTGCAGCTCCTCACACCAGCTCAGCACAAGCCGTGGAAAGGTGCTTGCCTAAGGAGAGCTCAGGAGGTCCAGTGCACAGGTAAGTTTTAAAGATGATTCCCAGGTTTCTTCCACTTCTGTAGGTGGGAGTACTGAGTAGAATGGTTAAACTGTCAACTTATGAAGTTCAGGTGGACTTGAACTCAACATTTTCAATCTTCTCAAATAATTTTACTCCAGTGTTTCTCCCTGCTACTTAAAAAAATGCAAAGTCAGGTCACATCTCTTGGCTTTGTATTGACATTACACAACCTGTTGATATATGAAACCACAGAAACATAAGAAAAGTTTTGTATCTGTAAAGCTATGACAACTAGAATTTTGGGTTAGTCAGTTGGTATTCAGGGTATTCAGAGAGCTTATAATAGCTGATGAGAAGTTTATTTTATCTTTCAGAGGTGTTTGTTTTAATTGAAGAAGTGGAGAAAGCTTCTGTAAATACGAGCTGGTCAGGGGAGTGGGGTAAACGATGAAGCAGGAAAGCAGATTTTCTTTTCTGGAAAAGTGCCAAAATTCTGGTTTGAAATTTAGTAGACAAGTGGAGCCAATCCAAGGGCATTTTATTTACCTCAAGCCACAAGTTATAGGTAATAATTCTTGAAATTAAAGATTCTTTTCATTTCTGGAATTGTAAGCAGACTTTGTGTTTTCTCTTCCATTTCAAGCAGCATACCAATTTTAGGCCTGTTTAATATTTTATAAGCAAGAGGCTTCAATATTGCAGAAAGAAATGGATTTTTCTTAAACATTGTCTTCTACCAGCACCATGTTATTAATTCAGAGATCATTTGCAGCTGTCAGAACTGTTCTCCTGCTTTGATACAAGAAAATTTCATATCCCTCTAAACCTGCAAACATAAAGTGTCACTTACACTATAGCCATTTTTTTCCAGATTGTTGTAATTTTATAAAATTATGCACTTTTTTGAAGCTTTACATTCCTTTTTAGATGTAGCCTTCCTGAAGCTCCTAGATTTGTTGGTACCAATGAATTAGATTACCATGAAGTTGTAATAAATGAGATAGCACTGCAACAATATTCAAAAATATTTCAACAGCCTACAGGAATCAAGCATGCCTGTACTTTTTCCATTCCTATTGAAAATTGCTTATACATGCATGTTAAGTGCTTTTCATGTTTCTACAATTTTAGGCAGGTGGCATGTCTTTAAATCACTCTTCTTAGTTACATGCAGAGAAGGCGGATAAGTGATGTGCTTGCCTCGCATAGGCATGTTATTAAGTTGTTGCATGATGCATTGCCTACATTAGTGTTTTATCTTAAATTGGGACCGCCTTTTAGAAATGACTCACCTGCTCTGCTCCAGGTACCATGCTTAGTTTCACATCACAGCACAGTCTTGGACATATGGTCTCAGTTGCTTTTGGATGAAACAAAGAAATTCAACCAGTATCAGGCATTCAGCTCACTAGACTAGACAGACTAGAGATAGTTCAAAGTCAACCCCCCTTCAATATGTTTAGTGAGGACACTAGGCTCTCAGAATCACCTTTTTCTCTCTACAAATCCATTTCTATTGGGCCTCACAAATACAGAGACAGCAAATGAGACATTCAGGGGCCGTAGCTCAAATCTGCGTATTTTAAGGCTTCTCTGACTGCTTCTCAGGCTATTTTTATTAAAACCTGTTTGTCTGGTAATTTCAAGATTTGAGCTGATTTCTCACATTTTGTCCTGAGAAACAGGGCTATCAGTAAATGGAAAAAAACAAGTATTATTTGTTTACATTTTATTTTCTGTAGAACATCTTAAACATGTTAACAGTTCACTTTTATTTTTGTTCTAACCATTTTTTATATACATTGATTCGGAATTTTGACAAAGTTTTTCTTAGAGAAGAAAGGTGGTGGAAGATATCTGAATGTCACCCTCATGCATGCTTACTGCAGTTCTAATTCTTCCTTTTTTTCACTGCATGCTGTAAAACCAAAAAAAAAAGTTTAGGCTCACAAAATTCTTCTCACTGAAAGCGTGGCTAATAAATCAGTAGGTAAATCCAGTTACTTCATGTTCCTAGGTGTGCCGTGAGAAATGGATATAGCTTAAATTGTCCAAATTAGAAACAGATAAAGTTGGGTGTCCAATGTTTTCTGTCATTCTGGGAAGCCTACCTGCTTCCAACAACAACTTTCCTGTCTTAGCTGGAAGACTATCTGACAGGCCAGTTCACGTAACATTGCCTAGATCTCCTGTTTTCCTCTTCTTATTTTTAGGTTTAAGATTTGCTCTTTCCTGGACCTTTTTTCTTTTTCTTTTTCTCTTCCCTGGGCTGATGATTTCAGCTCTCTCCTAATTGCTGTTGCAGTTTTGGGCATGCTGCTCCAGACGGGCAGTGCTGGGCAGTGGGCGGTAGCCTGGGTAAGCACTAGTTATACTGGTGCTTCTTGGAAATGGAGGAGGAGAAGAGAGGGTTGCCAGGGACATGGAATTAATTAAAGGATTGACAAGAGAGAGCCTCAGGACTTCAGAGTCACTGTATGGTAACCCCCAGAGAGACAACTGCAAAGGTGGCTTCAAGCTATTTTTATTTTATTTAAGTTTTGTCTGTGGGTTGGAGGCACCAAAAATGCAATTAGTGTTAGGGGCATCCAACCTGCTCCCCCAGCCTCTGGCAGTGCTGCTTCGCCCAGGGTTGCTCTTGCAGTGTTTGGCCAAGCCCTTCCTTATTTCTACTGCCAAAATGATACACACGCCCCTGGTTCAGCGATAAGGCTAAATAGAAAACTCTCTTGGGAAGTGTCGATCCCATGCTTTGCTTTAGAATGTGGCACGTTAACATTAGGTCAGGAAGGAGAAATCTTTCTTAACTTGTCATGATTTCCCTGTTTTCCAAAGTGGAGTAGACTCACCAGCAAAAAAAAAAAAAAATGGATGTGCAGAAAGACTATTTCCATAAACAACAACATAAAAATGAGACTATTAATCAGCATCATTTGTGTTCTACAACCTGAACCTTGCCAGAGCTTTCTATAACTTGGCACTTCAGAAGTGCTTAATTATAATAATCTGCCATAAACTGCTTGACCAGTGGTGCAAACAGCTCAGCCATCCACCTCTGGCAACTTGCAGCACCTGAGGGCTGGCATCAAAGTATTTTACCGCTGTCTAACACCAATGTATTAGCGATAGCAACTATGCAAGCAAGTGTCTGTAGACCACCAGGTAAACAAGCCCTAAGTGCTAAGAAAATTAGCAATTTGATTGCCAGGGAGCAAAGCACTTTTTGGCCTCATCATAGTATTAGGACTAAGGATTCCTCTGGAAGGTCCCATGTAAAATACGTAAAATATATAAAATAAGACGTGAGTACTAACAGCAAGAGGTAATTATGCAATAATCCTAATAGCTTTAAATGGTAATATAATAGATAGTGTTAGGGATTGTCTGTGTCTGTAGGGATTGTAGTGTCTGGCAGTGTTAGAGTCAGTTTTCTGTTGATCCCAGATATGACTGCACAGATACTTAGGGCAAAAATCCATTCGGAAAAACGCCCAGCAGATCTAAATTCGTTGACTGCTAAAAATAATGGAACATCTATAGAGACAGAGCAGATCATTCAATGTTTTACTCGTACAGATTTAAAGGTGATTTTTTTTCTTAAATAGCTGGATTGGAAATTTAGTACAAGCATCTTGAACACCAACCTGTAGCACTACCAAAAGACGTAATTTTTTTAGGAGAAAAAAAAAAACTACTAAGGTGATTTTGGTTAATTTGGAACTGCGTTTACTTAAGGAATTATGAATTATGTTTTCAGATACGCTATTGTAGAATTTAAGATTGGGGAACTTCAATTTCCTTTTGACATAAAAATGAGTTAGTTACTTCCTCCAGCCAGACTCTTCTTTTCCTTAGCAGGGATTTATGGAAGGTCCCGTGTAATGTTTCCCTTGCCCGTGTGCTTTCGACCATAGCATGGGGTAATGCTGTGGGATAACCCAGATCTCTGGGTCACAGCCATAGTAAGGCCCTAGTTCTGGGCACATGCCCTCTGCATTTGCTGCACACAGGAATTAGTGTCATCAGCTTGGGCATGTGCAAAACCTGAGCTGAACTCAAAGGGAATTTTGCATAAAAGTGATAAATGAGACTTTCCATTTGTCAAGATAGGATGCTGCCCTCAGCAGTTCTGCAGATTTTTGACTAATCTCAGCCCTATTTTTACTTTAAGAACATGTTTTCAAAATCAGGCTTCTTGGCAATTAATTTTCCAAGTCTGTAGTTTAAGACTGTTGTTTAAACACTTCTAAGATCATTGCCCCAGTAAGAAAAGAAATTTCTTCTAGAGCCAAAAGAACTCATTTTTAAAAAAAGTTCCTGTTAATAATTTTCCCATACTGAAAAATGAACTCTCATTGAAAACTGTTATTTTTAGTGAGGATTATTATTTCTTTGTTTCTGAATATATCTGTGCTTATTTTGTTCTGGATCCAGGCATGACTCTGCAGGTGTCAGTTGTCTGTTGTCAAGTGGTACATTAAAAAATTCAACGTGTAAAAGACATAGAAAATAAACAAAAAGGAGCAAATAAATAGGTTTTAGTTTATTTCAGGTGAGTAAGGGTGCTGACAAAATTATTCACTATTAAAACATGAATCTTTAAAGACTTTTTTATGACAGTGTTTTAATGTATACGCTCACACAGGCCAGAATGCAGATTAAGGAGCTTTCCATCAAATCTGTTTGGCCCACATCCAGACATGTTGCAAATCCCTATATATTTGTTTTGGCAGGAAAACTTCCTATTTGTGCCATTTCTTCTTAAATCTTTCAGCGTACTCTGCCTCCCACTCCTGAAGTTTCTGAAAGACTAAGAAAGCCGAAAACAACCTTGTGGAGGCCCCTGTACTGCAACAGGCAGATGACCTTGGATTTTGTCATAGGTGTTAAGCAACAAATGGGCTTCATTTTCTTCCTGTTTACACCAGCTTAACCCGAAAGGAAGTTAATTGATAATCAACAATTTCATTAGTGGAAATGGGGTGAGAATTGGGCCCATGGGAGGTTCCCAGAGGACA